GAGATTCAAAAAGCTGCTTTTGATCTACATCTGGAAAAAGCCTTGGGTCATGATGGCATGGCGGGATTATTTTTTCAGAAATGTTGGGAATCAATAGGGAAGGATGTAATCAAGAGGGTCAAGGAGAATTTGATCAACCACTCAACGAGACCAATATTTGTTTAATCCCAACAAATGAGAGGCCAAGAGAAACGGGAGAGTTCAGTGATATCTTGCATATTTACATCATTTAGGCTTGCATAATCATATGTTTTTAAGTCTCTTTCATGGATAAACTCTCATTTTAGGTCTCCTTTGCATTCATATTAGAGATAACTTGTGTCTAGGTATGCATTGCATGTTTTTTTTGCATTTTGAAGGTGTTATCTAGGTTATATGAAGGCTAAGGAGACTTGCTAGCAACTGGAGTTGGAATGGATGCATAGAGGAGAGCTTAAAGGAAGCAAAGCAAAGGAGGAGACTCCCCCCGGCGTCTCACACCGGCCAAACACCTCGGAGTGAAGAAGCCAGCAGCTTTGGAGGATCACACCGGGTAGCTGCACTGGCCAAACACCTTGCTGCAAGGTGGCCATCGACTTTGTAAGATCACACCGGCTTGTTAGTCCTGCCTACACTCCTCAGTACGAGAGGGACCGAAGGATCAAGAAGCTCGCACCGGCCACCTGCACCATCGACTTGCCCGGGTTGACTCCCTTTCATCCCACTTTGACCTTGGGTTTGACCAAAGCTTAATATTTTGATTATTTGAAGCAAACCTTATCCTTTTATTTTATCGATAATTAATCTTATCTTTTATGTTTTTCTGATCTAAACTCTCTCTCTCTCTCTCTCTCTCTCTTAAGCTTTTTCCAAAAAATTAGGATTTTTAAGCACAAAGTCAGTTTTAATAAAGAGTTTGCAATCCCAGCTTTTGATCATCTTTGTATTTCCTTTGATTATGGTTTTTCATATTGATTCCTGATTTTCGCCATGATCTCTATGTGTTCTGAGTGGTTCTCTTAGGATTCTTAGGATGGTTTAGATCCATGATGATTTAGTGGTTGATTATAATGCCCTCGACCGCCCCTGCTGATGAGCACACCCACGTCCTCTCTCGGGCCCATGGGCCTCACCCCTGTCCGACGGCCGGTGCGTTATTTTTTTCGGAGCCCAGCTGACTTATTTACTGACCCTGCAATCACCACATAAAATTTCCATGTGTTTTGGCCGCACTCACACGGTTTCGGAAGTCACTTCCTGAAAGATCACCCATCATAATCCTGCTCCAGCTCAAGTACGCTTAACTCTGAAGTTCTCTCACGCCCACTAACCGAAAAGATAAGTGCACTTTGGTGATATAGGTAGCCAAATAAATCCATTGGAGAGATAGGTAGCCAAATCAATCCATTTAACTTATTCAAATGGGTCGGGCCTGGATAGTTACAATTCTCTCCCACTAACCGGGAATTCGTCCCCAAATTCTGATCCGTGCGGTGTGAGCCCTAACCCCAAACCCTAAGACAGTCTCCTGGGACAGAACCAGTTGATTTTCCAGGCTCTGATACCACTTGCAACGCCCCCCGACCGCCCCTACCGGTAAGCACACTCACATCCTCTCTCTGGCTCGTGGGCCCCATCCCTGTCCGACGGCTGGTGCGTTATTTTTTCCGGACCCCAACCGACTTATTTACTGACCCTGCAATCACAACATGATATTTCTCCGTGTTTTGGCCTCACTCACACGGTTTCAGGAATCATTTCCCGGAAGGTCACTCACAAGGGCGTTATAAGTGGTATCAGAGCCAGGAAAGTCAAACTGGTTCTGTCCCAGGAGACTGTCTTAGGGTTTGGGGTTAGGGCTCACACCGTATAGATCAGAATTGGGGACAAATTCCCGGTTAGTGGGGGAGAATTGTAACGAACTGGACCCAGCCCATTTGAATAACTTTAAATGGATTGATTTGGCTTCTTATGTCACCAAAGTGCACTTATCTTTTCAGTTAGTGGGCCTGAGAGAACTCTAGAGTTAAGCGTGCTTGAGCTGGAGCAGAACTAGGATGGGTGACCTTTCGGGAAATGATTTCCAAAACCGTGTTAATGAGGTCAAAACACAGGGAAATATCATGTGGTGATTGCATAGTCAGTGAATAAGTTGGTTGGGCTCCGGGATAAATAACGCACCGGCCGTCGGACAGGGGTAGGCCCGAGAGAGGACTTGGGTGTGCTCACCGGTAGGGGCGTTCGGGGGTGTTACATTGATCCTTGATGTTTATTTGCTTAATATTGATAAATCCTTTCTTGTTTGATGTTCTTAATGCTTAATCTTTGCTAATCACTTGGATTTCGAATTCAGGCTTTCTCTACACCAAAAGTGTTCATTTAAGAGATTTACTTGCGTTACACATAAGAATGGTTGACTAGGGAGTATTTTAGCTTGATAGAACTGATTCTTTATGTTTGTTTATTGCTTGATCACTAATGGGAATTAGATCTTGATTAAGTTGTTAGCAAAGGGATCATTGTCATGGGAGTGGATTGATATGCTTGTTTAGAGTTCTATGTTGAAGGATTAGCCTTATTGGTTGAGTTTGTACATCAAGGACAGACTGATGTTTCACCATTGGATCAATAACCCCATCCTAAGACTCATGTTTGTTTAAATTCGAATTTGCCTTGTTTTACTCTGTTTTTCCTCTATTTCTTGAGTTTGAATTGTTTAGTTACCTGTCCTGCAATCTAGTTCAATGCTTTCTTTTGTTTGTTTGATTGATCATTAGGTTGCTAGATACTTCTACAACATTGATTGATTAGCTTAGCTCACTAGAATTCCTGTATTCTCTCTGTTTCAAATCCCTGACTGGATTGACACCTTAAGTACTACAGTGATATGATCTATGACTTAAGGAATTGAGTCACAAGAGTTGAAAAACTCTTGTATCATTCAGACCAATCAGCTTCTGTAACGTCTGCTATAAAATCATATCCAGGCTATTTTGCCAAACATTGAAAACGTTTCTCCTTAAGTTGTTCTTGGAAACGCAATCCGCTTTTGTGGCAGAGAAGCTTATTACAGATAATATAATGATTGCCAAAGAAGTATTACATGCTCTCCGGACTAATCATATCTGTAATTTAAAATTTGCTGCAAGAAAGACAGATATGAGTTAAGCCTATGATCGGGCAGAATGAAATTTTTAAGAAGCACTTATGTTAAAGATGGGTTTTGACCCAAAATGGGTGATATGGATCATGTGGTGTATAAGTTAAGTCTCTTAGCAAGTTTTAATTAACAGCGAACCAAAAGGAAATATATGGTCCTTGATATCCGCTAGGGAGATCCCCTATCTCTGTTCCTATTTATAATCTGTAATGAAGTATTGATAAACCAAATGAGGGGAGTTGAAGAAGAAGGGAGAATCACAGGATTGAAAATAGCAAGGGAAAGTCTCGCTATATCAGATTTAATATTTGCAGATGACAGTCTCTTCTTCTATAAAGCTGAGATACCGCAATGTGTGGAGTTGATAAAGATCATAAATACATATGACCAGGCATCATGGCAATAATTGAACTACTCAAAATCATCGATTCTCTTTGGTAGCAAACTGAAGCCAGAATGTAAGAATGCCTTAAAGAGATCTATTGGTATTTCAAAGGAATGGGGCATGGGTATGTACCTTGGGATACCAGAAAAAAATTACGGGTCAAAAATCAAGTGTTTGCTTATGCTTAAGTCTGTTGCTCAAGCTATTCCGACTTACGTTATAGCGAGCTCTCTTCTCATGCAGGATATTATTAAAAAGATGAGAGGTGTAATTTTCCAGTTTTGGTGGAGTACTAAAACCAATAACCATGGCTTACACTGGATAACATAGGATAATATCTGTACCCCCATAGCATAAAGGGGGGCTCGGGTTTTGTGATCTGAAGAACCTCAATTTAGCCCCATTGGTGAAACACTTATGGAGACTTATGAGATATCCGTCCACTCTTCTAGCTCGAGTTTTTAAAGGACGGTATTATCGATATTCCAATCATATAAATGTCAAGAAATCGTCTTCACCTTCATATGGATGGAGAAGTATCATAACGGCATAAGATCTCTTAAAACTGGGACTTTGAAGACCCATTCAATCGAGCTTTAACACAAGAGCTTGGAGCGACTCTTAAATTCCGGTAGTCCCGGCATGTCTGGCGAAAAATGTGTCTAATTCACAGGACCCCAATATGTATGTTAATCATCTAATAGATTTTGATTCTAAGTCATGGCAGGTGGACAAACTTCAAGAGCTGATTGATCCCGAGGATATTCCAAGAATTTTTAGCCTTAAATCGTCTCAAACTTTGATTTTGATGGATATTGTTGGATGTATACAAAATCAGTTAACTATAATGTCAAATTGGAATATGAGAGCGCATGTGATAAGGATGAAGAAAAATATGCACATTAGGTCTTGGAGCCGGAGTACTACGGTACTGAAGAGCAAGGTCTGGTCTCTCAGCACAACAAGGAAAATCAAACATTTGGTATGGCAAGTGATTTATGGGTGCATAGCGACATGTAGCAAGTTAGTTAACCGCCATTGTGGCAATGATCGGACTTGCCCCAAATATGGAGCGAACAAGCAATCGATCAACCACTTATTTTTTTTTACGTCCTCTGGTGTTACAAGTGTGGGCGATGTTGCCAGTCCTGTGTATTCTGGATTTATTTCTGAGTGAGGCTGTGTTCTGTACTATTGATTATCTGATCACAAGGGTAAAAGAACAAGGAGCAACACATGAGTAGGTCAAAAGTTTTCCGTGGATTATGTGGTATATTTGGAAAGCTAGAAACGGCAAAGTATTTAATGGGAACAATGTTTCCCCTATAGATACTTTAGATTTAGCAATCTAAGAAGCCAATAACTGGGAAATGGAAAATCTGGTGGTAGCTGTGAGTGAAGAAACAAATACGCGAGATGCATGTTTAACTAATATGACGATTCCAAGTAGATGCCAAGTTAACACCTCTTGTGTAGGTATGAATAATGTGTTTGGGGGAGGACTTGTCCTTCTACAAAATAATTTAATTCACCATCTAGGAGTCTTTGCAAGGAATTCGACTCAATCACCACTACATGCTGAGATGAAGACTACCTTATTAAGTAATGAGGACCAGTGGCGGAACCAGATACAGGGGTAAATTGAGTCAATTGAAAATATCTGATGTAAATATAGCTAATTTTGAAAATTTCACATAGGTTATTTGACACCCTTAGTAACAAGTTAGCTTCGCCACTAATAAGGAGTGTTCAACAGTTTGGTATTATTTTTATTCATTTTGAGACAGATTGTCTACACCTTATTAAGCTTTGTTGATGAAAATGAGGATTGACCGAATTTCGTATCAGAATTAGAAGAATTTAATTATTTGCGTTCTGGATTTTCAAAATTCTCTTTATCTTTTTTATCGTGTACTTATAATATTAGGGCCGACTCTCTTGTAAAAGGAGCTCATATTTGTAGTTTTGTTTCCTCTTATGTAAACAGTAATTCCAGATTGGTTAACCTATAAAATTAATCTATTTAAATCAACAGTTTAATAATATGGATATTGTCAACAAAACAAAATCGTCAATTAATTTTACTTTACCAAAATGATGTATAACTTCTAGATAAAGCTTAGCTAGGGGAGCGGATATCATGAAAATTTTTAAGTATTTGTGATTAATTTCGTTTTTTTCTGAATATCTTATTTTATAATTTGATTTATTTTGGAAAGAAAGATACAGATGTCGGACAATCTACATATTTTGAAACAATAATTCAGAGATTTGGGTCCAAACCCATACATCTCCTTGTTGGGACCATTCCCTCTCCTTGTTGGGACCATTCCCTCTCCCAAACAAGATGCGAATCCTGGTTTATGGAAAGTAGTCTCTCCTTCGGATCTCATAACTAGTATATATACTTACCAATAAAACATATTGAAATATAAAAATCGTTCTAGTAACCAACGTCCTCATCATCCTATACACATAAAACGTCCGAGACATCGATCCACTCAAGCTGCAGCTCGACCTCCCCGCATTCAACATTCTGGAGTCTAAGGAACATATTCTGGACAATCTTTCCTTTGTGCCACACAATCTTGCTCTCTTCTGATAAACAGTTCTGTCTGCTTGCTTGTATCTTCATTATTACGGTTCCATCGGGAAGTCCTCCGAGCTGATTTTGGATTCTGATGGCTTCAAGAAACGGATCAATGTGAAAAAACGCATCTCCCATCTTATCATCCCTTGAGAACCAGTCCCTATCGTAAACCATCTGTATCATCCCAACAGAAAAAAATATATGTTCTGTTATTTTAAACTTACTTGAGAAAGAACAAGTTGTTGTAATGTAAGGAATCACTTACGATCTTGACAGGAAGAATAGGATCAGTAACAGAAAGTGTCAAGTCTTCGTTCCATTCTGGATTCAAATTCTTTTTCATCACACGGGTTCGTAGCTTCTGAACCAAAGAAGGAAATGTATTCATGAAAAAAGGTAAAATAAAACCTTGTTAACAACAATTTTGAATGATAATCAAATCCCATGAATTTTTCACTAGCCTTGATGAAACTACATTGGATACGTATAATACATAAAATCTCGCGTTTCGCCGAACCTAGAGTGGAACTTTTCCTACGTTTTGTTTCATGTCAATACAACAAACATTCTCCCTTACTAGATTTTCAAACGATGTCGTTAATCAAAAGCAATATTAAAATTCTTTCATTAGACATCATATTCTCTCTTAAGAAAGCATAACCAGATTCATGACCAAAAAGATCCATATCTAAAAAAACGAGGCAGCCTTGAATAATCTAGAGATTAATTATAAGAACCCATTAAACAATAACTTGAGAAACTGAATTACAAACTCGAAAATGAAGGCTAAACTTGAGTAAAACAAAAATTGAGTGTCTAAGATTTACCTGTTTCCCCATACGAACAATGACGTAAGGATCGCTACTTGAGGAATCTCTAATGGCGAGATTAACACCTCTAATCACATGAAGTCTTAGAAGACCTAACATATTCTCCATTTTCGTATTTTTTTTCCTCTCTCTTTCTTCAGATCAAAGGACTTTGGTTTCTTCCGAGTAAAAAGCTTTGGTCTTTTCGTCAAATGCAGAAATTTAGATTAAAAAGTATTTGGTGTGTCCGAAAAACTTGGGATGGACTGACATCGTAACCTCTGAAGTGTGTGATTCTCTTTTTTTATAAGCACCTCAAATTCAGTCAAAACCAAAGAAAAAGTCTCTCCTGTTCTAGAAATATCTTATGTTTTACGAAAAAATCATTACATTTCTATTTTGACCCCAAAAAAGAAAATATTCCGTTTCTACGTAAATTTCTTTCCTTGTATGGTGGAGTATATAAGACTCTGAAATATCCAAATTTTTTTTGTTGAAATATTTACTATAATATGCCAAAAACAATACCAAAGAAAACGTATTTTCTCCATTTGTGAAACTTTTATTATAACGCGTGTTCCACGCGTCATTAGTTCATATAGGGTCTAATTATGGGGGAAGAAAAATTATTAAGACAATATCATGAGATTCATTCAATGAATGCTTAAACCCAAAAAAAAACACTGGAATTGCTGTTTCTTTTCTTTGCCAAAATTGGAAAGATATCATTAAAAATCAAATGAAAAAAAACACTGTTGAAATTCAGTTAAAATTAATATATTTACGCGCATTAACAAGACCATGGTTTTAATTTCTCTATAATTAATCCTACACATACGTTATATCGGTTTTTACACACCTCATTGGCTCATCTGGTCCTCATTTAACAACCACAGTCTTCATTCTTCATTGCTCATCTCTTCATCTCTGTCTTCATGTTCACTTCCTTCTTCTTCTCCTTCCATGACTGTCTTGACTCTTGATTTTCGATCTATTGGGTGATTGCTCAACTGGCTGAAAGAAGAAATGAAAAAGCCACGAGAAGTAAGGAGAAACAATATAAGAAACTTACTGATGTATCAAATAGCTCTTCCAAAATATCAAAGTTGATTAACCCTCCAAGTATCTGTAAGAGTCCCGACTCTAAAGTCAGAAAGAGGAAAAAACACGAACTCCAAAAGTTTTTTGACTTCTCAATTACATCACAATACTCCAATTCTAAGTATTAAACGCATCAAAGAAGATACCTTTTTCTCAAGCGTTCTGAAAACAGCTTCCATGGCTGTGGCTGGTGGGGACGCGTTCTTTGCTTCCTCAGCACGTTTTTGTTGCTTTTCCTATATCGAGAGAGAAAACAGAACAAGAGTGTCATTCAGAAACCATATAGGTCCCTCATATTATTTTCCATAAGTCAGATATACTTGGTATAAAGCATGAACATTACTATTGCAAAGTTAAAGTCAGAGTCACCTTTCTAGCTTCGACAAGCTTCCTTGCGTAGTCTGGGGAATTAGCATTGCTCGCGTTTGAAGCTATGAAAGCCTTAGCTGCTTGCTTCTACAAAACAATAATAACTAGGTAAAAATAAATTCTTATGGTATGTAAACAACTCACAAGGACTCCAAGAAAAACCTATATCACCTCAAAATAGTCTCTGTTTTCTAAATTAAAGACGGTCGTCTTCAAGAGCTTTTCTTCCTCGGTGAGAAAAATGTCATCCACCTAGGAAACAGTGAAATATTATGACTGTAGAGAATTGCTCCAATTCATTTTCCATATTCAAAGTTAAAACATTTGAACTTAGCAGTAATAAAACACAAGAAAGCAAAATTATTGCCCACCTCAGAAAGGTTGCCTGCAAGTGTATGATGAAACGGGCAAGCTGGGTCAAGTATTTGATATAACTTTGTTTTTATCTTGGCAACTAAAAAAATAGAATATGGTTTTGGTATATCCTGTTCTGCATCAACACAGTACAGAAAATAATGAGAGCCGAAAAGACAACATACTTACTGTTTGAGAATCGAGGAATGAAAATTGAAGGATCAACAAGCTTTTCACCATGTACAGCAGTTCACAGAGTTTCAAGTAGACAGAACCTAACTCATAACTGCATGAAACCAAAAACAGCAATACCTGCCATTACTCGACTCTGCAGTAATAAGGCTGAGAAAAAGTATGGAAATGAAAACAACTCATCTTACACGCTAACTCGAAGGTAGCTTGAAAAATCAATAAGAAGATACGGAATGTTCATTTCCCTACAGAGATGAGCAAAAGTTTTGGTCAACACACTCTCAAAATGGTCAACACATCACTTCGTAACATAACTCAGCAAATTAAGAATCTAACCTGCAAGTCAAGTAGAGACAGGAAGACTGTACTAGTTCAGTTTGCGCCCAGTAGTGAAGTTTTGTTCAAGTGCCAGCTTCAGAAGATAAATTGAGTTAAAAAATCCTGACAAAGCAAAAACTTCAGAAGATATGAAGTAAACATACTGTAAAGAATCGAGCAGCCATGATAATCACATCATCTCTCTCATCACCAATATTCAAGGCATCTCTCAAATTCATAATCTCATCTCTAGCTGCAACAAGAAAGTAGCTTCTGTCAGAGTAAACTAAGGATCACAAACGTAATGAGTGTAACAATGCAATGAATCAAAACGAAAGACTACTAGATCAGTTGCAGTATTAAGGCCAATAGTGAAGAGACAAACCTATTCTAATTCTCCTTTCACGTGAGCTTCAAACCCCACTCTGAACACTCGTCACTATGTTACCTGACGCTTGGCTCTGTAGATATAAATGGAGGTAAGGGGTCAAGTTACACTAAAACAAGAAAAAAAGTTGATAAAAAACAGAACATCTAAGCAGAGAATTTCAAACAATCACATCCGACTCTAATCTTTTTGCATCCTATATAGCGATGTTAATATGGGCGGTCGAGACCCGTTTAGAGTCCACCCATTAACACCCTGCCCATTTAAGACTCTGCTCATTTGAGTTGTTTAATTCTCTACCCAATCCATTTAGACCCTGCCCATTTAAAATAGTACATTTTTTTGTTTTTTCAGTAACAAAAAACAAAACTTAATTTCTATATATATATAAAGTTATATTTTCTCACTTCTCCTTCTATATATATATATATATATATATATATATAAAGTTACATTTTCTCACTTCTCATTCTGCCACGTCATGGTCCACCTCAGTTTATCACTATTTACAACAGTTAATATACTAAATTTCTCCTCATTTCAACATAGCTAATGTACTTAGACCAATGTTTTCCACCTACTAACTTTATCCTCATTTCAATATATAATTATAACATTATTTGTTGCACTATGTTACTTAAATTGATTTTGTTTCAATAAAAAATCTAACTATATAATGTGACATTATTAATGGAAAACAATAAAAATTAACATTAACATTCAATATAACAAATAACAAGCATAAAAAGATAATTATAATGTGTTGTCAAAAAAAAAAATACAAAATAGCAAAACAAAAAATAATAATATACATTAGCTCTAAGTATTTCATGATTCAAGACAGAAATTTACAAGTGTATGATGGGAATTAGTAATTAGAAAGATGCAAAAATAATAATATTAACCTTCAATATAAAAAATAGCAAACAAAAAAATTATAATGTGTCATTGGAAAATAAAAAATCAACAAAATACAATATAAAAACAATATAAAAAACAATAAATAATGTATACATTAGCTCTGACTATTTCAAGATTCAAGACACCAATTTACGAGTGTGTGACGGGCATTGATAATTAGAAAGCAGGAAGTAATAAAAATTAATATTAATATTCAATATAAAAAATAAAAAACATAAATCGTTAAATTATAATGTGTTGTCAAAAAATAAAAAATAAACATAATAAAAGATAAGAAAAATAAAAATAAAAAAATAATGATGTACATTAACTTTAACTATTTCAAGATTAAAAGTAGAAATTTAAGAGTGTGTGATGAGAATTGGTAATTAGAAAGACGGAAAACAATTTCCAAAAAAAGTGTAATAAAAATGAATATAAAATTCGGGTAACGAGGCGGGTTCGAGAAATTGTATTATCTAAAATCTATTCGCAAATTTTCAATAATTTGGATGAAAGTCAACTTCATAAAAATATTTTAGGAAAATTTCGGAAAGTCGAGGAAATTTTTAAAATATATATAATTTTATAATATTTAGTTCTTAAATAGATCATTTGAATATCTAATATCATATATGTTCTCTTTTTTTATCTGGTTGAATAAACCAATTAATTTTGAATGGTTAATATTTGATCGAAATTGAGATAAGACAAGAAATCTAAGATAGGTACATTGAATAAAAATAAAAAATCACAAAATGTTCAACACTATATGATACAACAAATATAATATAAAAAAATACATAAAATGAAAAAGATGGGAAAATCCGAGAGAGATACATGTGAGAAATAGAAATTCATCTTAAAATTCTCAAAAATATATGATACAATTAATTTAATACAAAAATATATGAAAATAAATCACATAGCCGCCTGTAGTGCGGCTCACCAACCAGTAAGCAATAAATTTTTCAAACGATCATTATATCAAGTCGCTCTCGTCTTGGAAAGATATTTGGTGTTCTTGACATTTATATTCAAATTGTATCCAATGAAAATCTCAAAACGATCAACATATTATGTATCCCTTCAAATTGATAATCTAAAAAAAAATCATGAATCACCCCAAATTGCATCACTCATCTTGCCTTGCAAGCTGCAAAACAAATAACATCACTCTAAATTGCATCATTCCAAAAAATAGTATCACTAATATTGAACATAAATGTATATATCCACTCCAAACAAGTAGATATGTATTTCTCTACACTTTGTTGCTGTCACATGATACGCTTATCTCCATATTGCACTAACTTTAAATCAAGATTACCCAATTATGCAAAGATAAGGCTTGAGCAGATTGTATATGCAAAGATAATAGCTTTTGATTCAGTAAGCCTTAGTTTGACAATTCCATAGAGTAAGAAGGAGCAGAACACGTGTGTAAAGCACTTACTTTTAGTTTGAATCTTCTGTTGAGTTATTCTTTGTGGTATCTTCATATTCAGAATCCT